GGAAACCTTTTGGATATACACCCTCAATACATTAGCCCCTGGAGGGTTAAACAAAAAAATAGAGGTCTACACTGTCTTATGAATATTTTCTTATCCACCAGTATTTCCAAACCCATTCTCTTTTAATTTCAGATGTTATTCCTCATAATAGTAAAAATCGATATTTATTTATTTATTATTTTCAATATCTAATTTTTTATAGACCATATGTTCTATGTATCCTATTATCAGGTCTCTCTAATATAGCAATATGTAGCTCCGTATAGGACACTACACATTCATATGGTCTATTTAAATAGGCTCAATAAGTACTAAGCTGCTTCGTCAGCTTTATTTTAACACCACCATTATGGGTTTTTTTTATACATTCTTTGCCATGTATATACGTGATGGTTATAACCCTATTATTATTACACTTTACCAAGTGACCTGTCTGCTTACATTTTATTCTATTATCAGGTCTCAATATAGCGATATATAGCCCTACATATGACAGTACACAATTATATGATTTGTTTTCTAAGTTTAATATATTTTACTAGTATCTAGTTGAACCGCCAACTCTTTTTTAATAACATAATACCTGTCAGGTATCTATATATGATGGTTGTAATGGTATGCCAACTAGTGATTCTTTTGCTTATACATGGCGGTGCTCCGATCCCATCCTCTGATCCATGCTGCATATACTGTCTCTAGTCTAGCACTGTCAATCCTCGACATACAGCCCGCCTTGTCCAGCCTTCCCCCAATAAGAGACAAATCTCTCCTACAGCCAATCAGGTCTAAAAAAGAAGCAGTTGCTTCAAAACATGTCACCTGACTTCTCTTCGCTTTCCTATTGGCTGCCCGCCAAGTCCAGACTTCCTTGCGTTCCACGCTGGTCAATGGCACCAAATTCAAACTTCCTACACCGCTGACAGCTGACGGCTCCATCCCCGTCCATCCAGAAGGACCAGGACCTTAATTCACACCGCTGGCTTCCCTATGGTTTACCTAAGGATTGCTTTTACATGCCTTCATACGCCTTTTGTTTGTTAGTAGTTACTAACTTTTATGCATTTTAATAAATTATTAACCCTCTACACTTAGATTGACACCCTCTTGTGTTCATTTCTATCTTCTAAAGAGTATTGCTTTACTCTTTGGGGAGCTGCCTTCACCTGTAACCCTTTCAAGGATACATGGACATTTTGTACTTCTATGCCCCTATGTGATTTTTCATTATTGATACTGTTTGTTACAAACTCCAGTTGTACCTCAGATGTTCATGCTTTATTAGTATTTATACTATGTAGTCATCTACACACCTGTCCTGAGGCTCCTGGGCTGAGCAACCTACTGTTGGGTCCAGGATTATGTATCATCCTCCAGTTTGTGGGAATTTCTGTTTCTCCTCTCCACTGGCTTGGTGATTTATCAATTTTGGCACTCTAACATGTTACGCTTTTTAACCCGACATTAAAGTGAATTTTGATTTTAATTATTTCTGGGCTTGTGACTCTATTGACTTTCAGAGGGTTGGAAGTGCTCCATTATTTGTTGTTTTAATTTCTACGCATTGAATAATCACAGGAATTACTACTGTGGTCTGGGAACCACTACAGCCGAGATTGTCACTGATGGATGTCCTGCCATCTTTGAAATGTTTGCACTCTTCAAATGTCTTACTGTGGCTGAGCATCTCATCACTGTACTATGCTTGAAATTTTCTGTAGATATCCACGGGTTTTATGCCTTCATTCACAAGAAACTTCATCATCACACACTGTTCAATGCATGCATTAACACTGTTGTCTTCCATCTTGATTAACAGTTTCTGGACTGGTCTGCGACATGTGAGATGCCTATCAGTAATAGGACACACTTGGTACTTACTTCTGCTTGTAGTACTAACATGCTAGCATCCCTTTTTATACCTTTAAAATTAAAAGTGCCAGTGTGACTTGAACACCCTGGTAAAAACAGTCCTAACTTGCTATAACAGTCCACGTTTTATCCCTCTGGCCAGTGAATGATGAAAAAGTTAAAAAAAATATTGGTCGGCAAAGTTAACGAAAGCACAACAGTTCCCAGCAGACAACAGATTAACTTGCACAATGTTAGTCTCTTAACAGATATAGAAGTTGCTATGATTTCTCTCCTTCAGTCTTGCTGAGACAGTCCCTCTTTTCTTACCTTACAAGTGGTGTAAGTGCTCTGCAGTACAGTCTGATTTCACCAGGCATGCAAATCCCACCTCACACCTTCACAGGGAGAAAGTTTCCATCTCTGAAGCAAGGTCCTGTTCCGTGAGCAGTCTCCCTGAGGTCTCACCCAATTGTGGTCAGCCACAATAGAGTTCCATTAAGCCAGCTGTCAAGTCTGTCTGTTCAGTCAGCAGTACAGTCTCTTTTTTTCACCCCATGTTTTTTCAGCCTGTCCTCTCTTCCTTTCAGCAGCCTGCCAACCCTCCTTTCCTTGCTTTGCTGCAGCAGCCAATCACATCCTTTTAGGATCAACCCAAACCTAGCCAAGAGGGTTGCTCCCTGCACTGGAGACACTCAATTTACAAGCATTACAAAGTAGTCTTAAAGATAGCTGCTGCACTTCTGCATCAATGAACTTTCAATTTAACCCTGTCCATACTGAAGAGGAATATTACAGCAGCAACAAAGGAAGAAATGTTGCATCAGCTGCAGTCCAGGTTACACAAGGAATTTAAATTGTTGTAAATGCTGTAAGTCCATTTTATTTCAATTGTCTTTGCCCCAAACTTCACACATCAAATAAGTCAAAATAGTGTAGCACTATACATCAAACAAATTTTTGATATATGTGACCATAAACATAAATAAAACATCTATCACATCAACAGCCCCATAGTGTTTCAATCCTAGTATCTGTTCTTTTAAATGTGCTTTCACACTCTTTTCACTTATCTAATCCTCCATTTCTTCACCTTCAGTGCTATCCCAACACCAGTTATGCTCTCCCCTGTAATATTTGACCCACATAAAATGTAAGGTCAAAACCAGCACCAGTCTCCGTTAAATGGAATCCTGTGTGTCCAGTCAATTATACCACTTGCTCTCCTCTCCTCCAAATTACAGCATCACGGGAAAAAAACTAACATCCCATGATGCTCCACCTTTTAAGAACCTTTATTCACACCACACATTAAAATGCCACATCATATTTTCTAGTGCATTACATGCACTCATACATATAAGCATCAAGAAATAACACACTTCCAGTATTCAGATCCAGTTGCTTGTGTTAGATACTGCACCTCATAGTGTGCAATAATGTCATCCAATAAGCCCTGCCCCTACATGATTCATCATCAAGACAAATGACTTCCTCAGGGGAATCCCCCTGAATGACTGTCATCATCATTCAATCCTCCAAATATTATGGGACTGAACAGCTCTCAATGTGTCAATATGTGAACTCTGTGAAGGGCAAGTGTAAGGACCGTTCACAGCCGGCACCAAGGAAGAAAGGAAAAGACCTGTGACACCACATAATCTGCCAAAAGATCCTTAAAAAAAGGTTTGTATCATATAATAAAATAAGAGCAGGAAGCCAGAGAGGAAAGGGACATGTCATTGAAACAGGAATTCCATTTTAAGGAGATTGCATTACAGCTCAGGCAGTCAGTGCAGTCATCTCTTTTCTTTTTTTTTTTGTCAATATAGGCTTTATTTAGACCAGTTTTCTACTGTTATCAATGGGAACGTTCACACAGGTGCATGTAAACATGCACTGCTTTCAGATCATAAACACCAAAAATCTGCTTCTGAGGACATACATATGTAGAGCCCCTCTAGTTAGCCAGGGGGAGCTAGCTAGGTTTTTAGTTAGAGTCTGGATAGCAGCCTGGTATGAGTCAGCCTGGGATGAGTCAGCCAGGTAACTGTAGGTCAGGGCTGAGGTCTCTGCATGTCAGTTCCCTGATACCTTCCCCTGCTCTAGAAGCTTGAGAAGTTTCTAGAAGGCAGGTTTCTAGAACTCTGACCAATCCCCAAGCAGGAGGCTTTGCATGTGGTCAGGAAAGCCCTTACATATGGGAGAGCCTGATCAGGAAGTGGTTAGTATGGGTGGAAGATGATGTGGGAAGGCCAGAGTGTGGAGCCTGGGAGGGGGCCCAAGGAGGGACCTACATGAGGGTGCTACAGGCAGGATCATGGAGGAGGATCTCTCAGCTTCAACTGTCACCTGAGAGAGGACAGCCTGGGAAGCAGGGAAGGAGCCAGCCCAGCATAAGGCCTGAAAGCAATCACCAACACATATGCTTATAGGAGAGGACTGAGTGAGTAATTATGCATCCCTCGGGCTGGATAAGGGAAGAGGGCAGTCAGGTGGCCAACCCAACTAACTCCTCGTCTGGGGCTGCTCTACTACTGTGGCAGTTTTTGGGTCCCCTTACTCAGGGATTCCCTCAGGCAGCTGGATGAAGGGGAGGATTCTTAAGAGGTCTGAGGAGGTACACCAGAAGATCTGGAGTGCTCTTCAAGAAGAGACTGTTTGTCTATGGACTTGTACATAGTTGCTAAGGAGATTTGTCCTCATGTTCACAGTTTCTTTTGGGCATCCCATACACCCCTCAACCCCATGCAAGTTCAATACCCCTTAATAGAAATAAAAATAAAAAAAAACAAGCTCAAGGACTGTTTACTGTCTCAAGTGCAGGTATTGAAGAAAATGCTTGTTGCCTGTCAGTGCAGGACTATAAGGGACCCAAAACTCAGCATTTCCTAAGGGGGTAGTGCTACACATATAAACCTACGCCAGATGCCAAAATGTTGGAAAAGAAAATGAACAATTTTACACAAGTATTTACTGATCATTACATGGGAACTTTTGTGTTAGAAAAAACATGCATAATAAGGTCAGTAAAATGTTTACAGTCATGTGAAAGTAGCATTAATTGTGTTACTGCTGAGCTGTGAGTTACAATTTTCATGTGCATTATGGAGACATACAAATTTCAGAGGTGACATGGATATCAGGTATTTGCAGGAGCGGACTGACCATTTGGAACTCGGGCACTGCCCCAGGGCCCGGGGTCAGTAGGGGGCCCCATAAGATACCCCTGGTACCTTTTTCATAGGCTTTTTTCAGTTCGGGCAAGGACACAGGGGCCCCATGATCCCCTATTGCCCGGGGCCCCATGAGTTGTCAGTCCGCCCCTGGGTATTTGGTTGAGTGTGTGTGCTGTAGTGCAAATTTTACTAGTGATATGGATAATGGGCAACAAACTTTATGTTCTTCTAGAGTCTAGAGTGAGCTTTGTGCAATGAAGTACACAATGAGCAATGTATTGCAAAATGCTCTGATGCTATAAATAGTGGAGAATGAGCTGACTCTGCTGATCTCACTACTGCCCGGGTTAGTGGAGAGATCTGTATGTGCTGGATTGTAAATATCACTGTGAAATGGATGCTGGGGAGTGATCTGTGTATGCTTGATTGGATATCTCAGTCATAGCACAGATACTAGAAAGTGAGTTGTGTGCAATGGATTGGAAATTTTGCTGATTAGAAGCACAGATACTAGGGAGTGATCTGTGTGTGCTGGATTGAGAATTTCCACTTGTAGCATAGATACTGGGGAATGATCTGTGTACTGTATTGGAAGTCTCACTAGTAGGTCAGATACTGTGTTCTGGATTGGAAATCTCACTAATAATGGATGCTGGGGAGTGATATGTGAGTGATATGTGTATGCTGAATGTCACTTGTAGCATGTGTAGCACTACATTCATAAGGCTTTTATGAAGGGGTTAATAACTTGGATGGGGTCTAGGGGTATATGGGATGCCCAAGGAGCTGTAGGCCTTGAGGACAAACTGTGATGGTCACGGCGTCAGACCTCAGCCCTTCTCACCAACTTGTGACCGAAGGACTAGCCAATCTAAAACCGCTGCCACGTGCATAACAATGCCACGCCCTGCTGAACCCTGCACAAAGATTTTCCAGTTAATGGACCACAATCTGTGCACTTGCAGCCTGGGAGCGATTGTTACTGGGTCAGGTTAATTACGCAATTAACCCTTCACACTGCCACCGCCTCCTTTTTGTACAGTGAAAGAGGAAACTCGGCAATATCAGCAATAACACTATGATGGTTGAATAATCATCTGTATACCACTGTCACCGCAGGCAGGTTATACAGAGGTTTAAACACACACAGTAGCGCTCTTCAGAGACCTGGGTTCTTAGTTTGCATTAAAGAGCTTTAGAAACAGTTCAACACTTTCAGAAAGTAAGATTTATTACTAAAAGGTCAAAATGGTGCAATAAAAATATTTACAGAAAAAGATGTAGACAATATATATATATATATTTTATAGATATACAGAGAGCAATAACACAAAGAGATAACAGAAAGGAATTTAGGGAGGTAAAGTACTTGCCAAAAGCCTTGGTTTAAGCAGCTTCCAGTTTTCTGAGCCAAAAGGGTGCTTTATCTCCCAAAGTTAGTTCCGATGTTAAAAGGGAGCTTCTTCAACTTCAACTCAACTCAGCTTAGCTTTTTCTAGGAACTCAGCAGGGTGTCTCCTTAAAGCAGAGAATCAATCGCCTCATTTGGGGAGGGGTGTTGGGTCAGAGACCCAAGCTAGAACCAAAAACCCTCGCAGTTGATGTCATGGTTCATAACTTACTCTCGGTGCATTTAGCATTCCACCCATGGGTAGATTAATATGCAGAATCATCTGCTGAACGTCTAGGTATGAAATATGACATACCTGTTGTGACGGTTAAGGAGATATAATTTTCTGCTCTCCTGTTGATGCCAGCTAGGGGATGTAATATATCAGGCGACTTGTATTAACAAGACCGATCTGAATATATGCCTGGTTTTTATGTACAACTTTCATAGTCCAAGATATGTAATCATAGGGGAAAAGAGGATGTTTAAATATGAGTTCGTTTTACGACTACCTGGAATGTCTTTGAGCTCAGTGAAGGACTTGGTTTATTGTTTTACACTCCTTCTCCAAGCAGAGTCTTGCAGACATCTGGGGGCCAGGCTAATTGGGGTTTATAAACACGAGCTCTCCCGCTGGCCTTGATGCTTTTTATCTCTGCATCAAACAGACTACATGTCACTCCTCAGAGAGGGAGGGGGGATATCAGAGGAATCTGATTTGGGAGTAGAAAATGATACAAGATGGAGGCCTTTGCCAAAATGGAGGTTTGCATCCATCTCTGTGTACACGATTGCTACACAAACTTCTTAGCAACTATGCACAAAAAAAAAGTTGACTAGCCAAAAAAATATAGCACTGTCCCTTTTTATTTTGTTTACCTCCTCAGACCCTGAATGAATCCTCCTCTTCACCTAGCTATGCTGAGGGTATCCTTGAGCAAGGGGGTCCCAAGAGCTTGTTGTTAAGCAGTCCCAGGTGAATACTAGTTGGGTATTGCACTCGACCACCCTCTCCCCTTATCCAGCCCAAGGGATGTAGGAGTGCTCACACTGTCCTTGCCCACTAGCATGGTGGGTTTGTGGCTTCCTTCAGGCCCTACGCTGGGCTGGCTCCTTCCCTGCTAACAGATTGTCCTCCCAAGGAGAATTTGAGGCAGTAGAGAGCCTCCCATCCAGCATCCTGCTTGTAGGTAGGCTCCCCTCCCTGGGACCCCCTTCCATGCTCCACACTCCAGTCTTCTCTCAATCCATCTTCCACCCAACTCTGCACACTCCCCAGGCTCTGTCATATTTGAGGGTTTCCCTGGTCACCATGCCCAGCCTCTCGCTAGGGGATTGACCAAGGTTCCTCAAACATGTAGATCTGGGCCTCCCCCCCTCCTCCTCCCCTGTTCCAGAAAGTTCTGCTGGAAGGGTGGGAGGGCACCAGAACCCTGACCTGTAGAACCAAGCTGTCCTCAGATGAACTCCTGCCTCACTCCCAGACTGACTCATCCCAGGCTGCTACTCAGTTCAATATTAAAAAAAAAAAAAAAAAAAAAAAAAACCTGTAAAACCTATCTAGCTAACCTGGAGGGCATTACACATGGATACTGGTGCCTGATATGTATGTGCTGGATTGGAAATCTCACTAGCAGCATATGGCAACTGAGGAGTGGCCTGTTTTTGTGGGATTTGAAATCTTACTTGTAGCACTGATACTAGGGATTGACCTATATATGCTGGACTCAAAATATCACTAGTAGAAAAAAATACTGGTGATTGATCGGTGTGTGCTGGATTGAAAATCTTACGGGAAATCAGTGACTTGAAGATATGTAAATATTATCAATGAAAATACACTATATTGCCAAAAATATTGGGACACCCCCCCTCCAAATCATTGGATTCAGGTGTTCCAATCACCTCCTTGGCCACAGGTGTATAAAATCAAGCACCTAGGCATGCAGTCTGCTTCTACAAACATTTGTGAAAGAATGGGTTGCTCTCAGGAGCTCAGTGAATTCAAGCTTGGTACCGTGATATGTTGCTACCTGTGCAATAAGTCCATATGTGAAATTTCCTTGCTACTATATGTTCCCTAGTCAACTGTTAGTGATATTATAACAATGTGGAAGCAACTGGGAACAACAGCAACTCAGCCATGAAGTGGTAGGTCACATAAAAAGACAGAGCGGGGTCAGCCCATGTTGAAGTGAACAGTGCGCAGAAGTCGCCAACTGTCTGCAGAAGACCTCCAAAGTTCATGTGGACTGCAGATTAGCACAACAACAGTGTGTAGAGAGCTTCATTGAATGTGTTTCCATGGCCAAGCAGCTGCATCCAAGCCTTACATCACCAAGTGCAATGCAAAGCATCGGATGCAGTGGTGTAAAGCATGCCGTCACTGTACTCTACAGCAGTGGAGGTGTGTTCTCTGAAGTGACAAATTATGCTTCTCTGTCTGGCAATACAATGGACATGTCTGGGTTTGGCGGTTGCCAGGAGAACAGTACTTGCTGACTGCATTGTGCCAAGTGTAAAGTTTGGTAGAGGGAGATTATGGTGTGGGGTTGTTTTTTCAGGGGTTGGGCTTGGTCCCTTAGTTCCAGTGAAGGGAACTCTTAATGTTTCAGCATGCCAAGATATTTTGGACAATTTCACGCTCCCAACTTTGTGGGAACAGTTTAGGGATGGCCCTTTCCTGTTCCAACATGACTTAGTACCAGTGCACAAAGCAAGGTCCATAAAGACAAGGATGAGCGAGTCTGGAGTGTAGGAACTTGACTGTCCTGCACAGAGTCCTGACCTCAACCCGATAGAACACCTTTGGGATGAATTAGAGTGGAGACTGCGAGCCAGGCCTTCTTCATCCAACATTAGTGACTGACCTCACAACTGTGCTTCTGGAAGAAGTGTCCAGCATCCCCATAGACACACTCCTAAACCTTGTGGACAGCCTTCCCAGAAGAGCTGAAACTGTTATAGCTGGACCAACTGAACACTAAACCCTAAAGACTAAGACTGGGATGCCATTAAAGTTCATGTGTGTGTAAAGACAGGCGCCCCAATACTTTTGGCAATATAGTGTATACTGTATATGGTGCTGCTATGGTTATACTGCAGTGCTCCCAACTAAATTTCTACTTTCATCCCCTGCAGTTAGTGCACATCAGATCTATTTGACAGTAATTGGGAGCTATTCAATTCCCGTATGCTTAATCAACACAAGTCACCGAGATATTGTCGAACATTTGCCAGGGACATCGATGCCAGTAGTGATGGGCTGAACAGCCCCCTGTTTGGTTCGTTGTCGAACATTTGAACATAATGAAAGTTTGACCGCGAACTTCAAGGTGACAATTCACTAAGCGGTATCTTACCGCATCTGAGTGTGCTGTAAAATACCGCACAGCTACTAAACACATTCTTTAGTGTTTCAGCTGTCTGCGGGGTTGCCTGGCAATTAAATAAAAAAAAACACATGGGGTCCCCCCTCCATACCAAGCCCTTCGGGTCTGGTATGGATTTTGAGGGGAACCCTCATGCAAACTTTTTTTTTAAAATGGCGTTTGGGTCCCCCCAAAAATCCAAACCAAACTCTTATCCGAGCATGCAGCCTGGCAAGTCAGGAAAGGGGGGGACAAGCGAGCACCCCCCTTAACCATACCAAGCCACATGCCCTCAACATGGGGGGGGTGCTTTGGGACAGGGAGGCTCCCCCCCCAAAGCACCTTGTCCCCATGTTGATGGGGATAAGGGCCTCTTCCCCACAACCGTGGCCGGTGGTTGTGGGGGTCTGCGGATGGGGGGCTTATCAGAATCTGGAAGCCCCTTTAACAAGGGATCCCCAAGATCC